CTTTTCTAGAGATTTGGAAAATTTCGAAGTAAGTGTTTCATTTCACACACGTCATTTATGTTAGTAATTTGCATGTTTTTAATGGTTATGTAATGTTTGAACTAGAGCGACTAGTTTTATCAATTTGTATAGCACTATCAGTCTTCAAAAATCTGATTTTTTATTTTATTTTATCTGATGTATAGCATTCACCAAAATACCAACTAGTATAGCTCAATAAACCAGGATTCAAAAGTGATTATACATGAAACTAATAATTTATAAACATGTATAACTTACTTGTTTACTATCAATCATTGACAAAGGTCCATGGAGGGCACATAGAAGAGCTAAGGAGACCACTCAGTTTTTTTGACAGTGGCCTCACTAGCAGCAGCTCCCAAGAGCTAGCCCCATGAGGGTGTATCAAAAGCCTTTTGGAGTGGCTCCCAAAGAGTGATTCCTTGAGGGCACTTAGTGCTATACTCGTTCCTCACTAAAAGTCCCTTTGATTGTTTCCGCGAGAGGGTTGCTGTGCAAATAGTGACTTCACGTAATTCAAGAAGTCCTTAGAGCAACTCCTAAGAACAAATTACGAAACAAGATGAAACTACATTTTGTTTTATCAATTGACAGCCCTCAAGAGAGACTCCCAATGAGAAAGCTCCAAGACGACACATGAGCAGATTCTATAATGAAAATACAAATAGAAAGTGTATATGCAAAGATTACCCAACTCTAGAGGGTATGATGGCTTAAAACATGACCCATACGGGGGAGTGTGAATTGGTATTATCCACAAGAAGGATATCATCAACAAAAAATATACACTAGGGTACATCCTCATGTAATTGTCCAATAAGAGCATCCATAACTAAAACAAATAAATATGAGGTTAAAGTCAATCCATGATGTAAGTTAATTGAAATAGAAATATATTTAATTAATCCTCCTTATGCTCGAACACAAGTAACTTCTCTAGTATACATATCTTTAATGATTTGAATATAAGCAATGTTAAGATTGTTCTTTTCTAGAACTCTCCAAAGTACTTCTCTTGAAATTTTATCATAAGCTTTTTCTAAATCAACAAAAATCATATGTAGGTTTTTATTCTCTCTATAGTTTTCCATCAAACCTCTCACTCAATGTATAGTTTTCATAGTAAACTTGCCCGACATGAATCCAAATTGTTTGACTGGTTTATACATATATCTTTTATCTTTTTTAATATCTAATATATTATAAAGATCATTAAAGACAATTTTTTAGCACCACAAATTGTTGTCTTAGACTCTCTATGAGATCTTATATTTTTCCTGATTCTTCAAACTTTTATATTTAAACCAATTTTTGTAATAAAATTTTTTACTTTTTTATCATTTCTTGCATATTATTTTTCCACCACTAATTATTTTTCTTCATAAAAAATTTTTTATTTTGATTCTCCAAGCACATCTTTTGTAACCCGCTTAATTTTGCTCGTTACGTTATTCTACATAGTATTAATTTCTTCATTAACATTCTAAATCTTAGACTTTGAAGTTTTTTAATAAAAAGAATTCTTCTATGTCATTCAAAAATTTTTCTTTTGAATATATCTCTAAAACTATTTGGGGAGCATACACGCTTATAATATTAAGAATCTTAGCATTAATAATAATCTTTAAAACAATAATTCTATTTTCAATTATACTAATTTTTATGATATTATCTTTCAAACTTATATTTATGATTAAACCTATATCTTTTTTATACGACTCCTACTCGAGTACCCAAATTTAAAACCTAAATATCAATCCCTTTAGTCTCTTTCCAACTCATTTAGTTTTTTGAATGCATAAGATATTTATCTTTACTAATTCATTAATTTACACATGAGAGTACATATATCCAAGTTTGTATCCTATTATTATTTTTATGAACTAACATTTTTGTTTGCATCCTTCTATAATATTAAAATTCATGCTTATTTGACACTAATCCGAGGTGCCATGTATTCAAACCATATAATGTGTCGCATTCAGATGACGCCCTAGTATGACACAATGATTTAAATGAAACAATTTTTACGGTGGCTGTAGATTACCTAGCACAACTCTCTATTTTTTGCATCCATGGCTTTTAAACTGACAATGACGATGTTCTACAATTAAAATGGCAAATAAAGTAGACAAGGCGACACAATGCTTTATGTGGTTCAGTCCAAATTGGCTTATGTCCATTCCTAAACACTCTACATGCTTAGGATTCCAATCATCCGATAAACCTTTACAATATTCTACACAAAGGGTAAGAGGACCCTCATCTTACTTGTGGACAGGGGCACCTCTCTAAGCCTTCTCCAAGAGACTTGGTACAAAATACAAGAATGTACAAAATGAAAATTGCAGAATAATAATTTATGTTACTTGCATAAATGTTTCAATATTGAGGGATAATGATCTTTATTAGGCTAACTTTCTTTGATCACGTAGATCTTCAAACTCTTCCTTGGTAGGCACTAGGAATTTCGAAATGAATACAGTCTCCCCTTGAATTAGTTGCATGTAACATTAAATGTAAGTGGGGTCTAGTATATGCATGAGCACTAGGAAGCGTCCAGTTCTCAGGCTTGACTGGTGGAGGTGCCAAGTTCAAAAAAGTGGGTTTACATAGCAGCTAGTCTGAACTAAAAGCCAACTAAGAAATGTGAGTTAGAGCTAGCTAGAGGACTTATAAAGAAAACCTTCATATTTAACACAATTACCTCGAATAGTTTGGAGGCTTTATGCAAAAATTTAATGTATTCTTTTTACTAGTCCAAAAAGGAAAAGAATGAAGGAACTGAAACACTATAGTGACAAAACTAATAAATCACATGATATTAGTGGAAGTTCTAACCATGTCCCTCACTGCCTTTAGAAATCAAGTTATTGCCATTTGGAAATTGAAGCTTGATGTTGACAAATTAGTAGATTTTTAATTACCTCTATGGTTTGGATTATGCACACGGAGTAAGGAAATAATATTAGGGTTTGCACATGAGACCGACTCACCTCACCATCTTTATTCTTATGCTTATGGATACAATTAATAGTAGTTATTTGATGGTTGAGTAAATGGACAATAGACTATCAATGTCTTTACGCTTAAGTATATATAATTCATATTATGCTTTTCATCCTCTTGAGCTATTATTTTGGCAAAGCTAGTTGAGCTCATCTAGTTAAGCTCATCTATATATGCGCTTTCCTTATTTTGATGCCAGCTTAAAGTGCACATACAAACTTGTTTTTGTTAATAAGTGAGCTGGAATGGAGCTAAATTTTGGGCATGCTTACTTTTGCAGACAATGAGCTTCATAAAATTTTCGTAGGCTTGAGTTGTTTCCTTTTTCTTCCAACTATTTTCTAAAAACTATGCAAACCATATTTAAAATTTTAAAATTTAGTTGTTACATATTTCATGAAGCCCAGTTGTATGTATTATTTTGAAAAATTCCACACATTCTAGTTTGATATCATAATTTCAATTAATTTTTTTTCTTGATATTTAATCTTTTTTGAACAGGACATCCTCTTGTTTTGTTAGAAAATTTGACGCCTCGTCCGCCCTACGACAGGTACATACTCATGATCCTCTTCTGCCCTACGAAAATCAATGTCGTTGTGGGAAGGATACTGCCATTTATAATTCTGGAGAACCATCGCGGCAATCACATTCTGCACCTGTTTGGGAAACAGGTAGGATGACATATCGCGGAGTATAATCCATTTATTCTTCCAAACACCTAAAGTCCTTCTCTCAATGACACCGCATAATGATGATTGTTTTTTATTTCTGTCTCATGTTACATTGCTCACTCGCTCATAGTCTGGTTTGTGATATCTCGTATTATGATAGGACTTAAGAAACTCCCACTGCAACGAATATTCAACTTCAACCAAGTTTTATTCACCTGATATGAATTTCATAATAAATATTGAGGTAAAAGTTAATTATGAGATTAGTTGAGTCTTAAGCGTACTTGCAGGAGCATGTGAGAAGTTGTAAGTGACATTCCGCGTCGAAGCTTTGAAAATTCTACTATCATGTGTGTTGCCCTCCCAACCAGCTATAGCAAAAATAAAACACATGTTGAAGTTGCAAACTGTCATGACATTCTGCGTCGAGCTCCCATAACGATCGATGAATGCAATTTTCTAATTATTTGGAACACGTGCGTCAACATGCGTTCCATTAATTACTCAAATACAATCCTAGTAAAATAACATGGAATTCGTAATAACGGTGTTTTTTTCAAAATTGAATGTAATGAATTTGAGACATTACCTTAAAGAAAGACATGTGTCGTGCATCGTGTGAAATCTCTGTAGGGGTCCGTTTCAATGTAGGATCAATAGGTTTTATGACTTGTGAAGAAAAATTCACTAGTGTCTTCAACTCCACTTAGAAATTTCTGTAATTTTTTTGTCGGAGTATTGAAATTGCTCAATTGCTCCTCGCATTAATTCATTATGGGATAATATGTAGAGGGTTATCGCCAATACCTCTCGTGAATTCGTCCTGAAAGAGTCATAAAGTCCATGATTTCTATGTAGTTCCTCTAACATATCGTTGAATACCGTCTGTGTCATACAAAACATATTATTAAATCTCGTTGGTTGGCCCACAAGTAACTCCCCATATGAGGATGTCATGCAAAGGGAGCAATCTATGTACAAGTTGTAATATTTGTAAATCAAACATACGACAGCTGCAATGCTCCTTATGCGCCTTGCTCTAGTTGCACAATGTAGATCAGTATCATACTGGCTAATAAAGAAACATCAATAAATTAGCTAAAATCATGTAAGGCTACGAACAACACAATAAACATATAAGCATCATTGAATAAGCAATGTCCCAAGCAGTTGAAATATACAAAGCAAAATGAAAAATAATAAATAAATATAATGTCTCAAATGTTCATGTGATCATAAAAACGTCGTAGATATGTCACCCTATGGTCATCAGATATCTTGACGAAAAAATCTCTATGGGTTGGATCTTCAAGCAACTCTATTGCAAACAAGTACAGTGGTTCATCCTTAGAATTTTTCATTTTTGTATTCACAATTTGTAGGACCTGTCGATATAATTTGTTTTAGGTGTGCGGGGTTCAACGTTGCAAGAAGACACCACCTGTGATTCCTAGTTTCTAAGAAAACAACCTCAATTTTATTTTTATTCTCAACCCGCAGACGCTTAGAACGAGAGATAGACTCAAGTTCTTGGAGTTCCGGGCTGAGGAGTTCAGTTGAATCACCTGATCGGTCGGCTCCCAAGTTCTCGGGGGTGCCAGCAAACCCTTTCTACCTAGAGGCACATGCATAGTTGCCTGTAGCAACGACACCCCCAAACATTCAATCCAATTCATCCTCCAACTCAGGATCAAGTCCACAAATTTTAAAGTTTTTTGCAGTGATTACCATGAACAAATTCATAACATACAATTCAATTTAAAAACAAAATGAAATTGACCAATTTAAGGGACATGTCACAAATGCTTACCGCAAGTCTTTTTATCACCACTCCTTGGGAGTATCAATGGTTTGCTTCACCGGATTCCACCCCAAGCCCGTTAATCCTTGTTTCAATTTCTTCCAAATTTTACAATCCTTATTGAGTTGATCTCACTTGCTCTTCAATTGCATCTTGTCGTACTCTCTGCATGTACTTTCCTTAAATTTTTTGATAATATTTTGTACTATTTCTTGTTGAAATAGGCAGTAAGCCTATTTCCCAGATCGATCTTCTTGAGGCAAATGTCACAAAATATTATTTTAATTTATGTTCCATATTGCTGGTGTGCCGACCTCTTTGATCTTAGTCATTGTATTACTATGATAAAAAAACAAAGTTACATAAATAAAAATGCAACAAAATATGCACATGACAACAATCAACCACCCCAACCACAACCCACAAGACAACCTCCATAACAACAGCCACCACCCCAAGCCATTGCAAAAACCATCCCAAGCCACAACCACCATCCCAAGCCACAACCCAAAACCATCACCTCAACTCACAACCACACCAAGTTACAACCCAAAACCATCATCTCAAGCCACAACCCAAAACTATCATCCCAATCCACAACCACCACCCTAAGTCACAACCACCACTTTTTGGCCTAAGCCACAACCACAAAACCATCATCGCAAGCCACAGCAAAAAACCATCACCCTAACCCACAACCACCCCAAGCTCAATAACAATGTTCATTCTATATTTGTTTTAACTCAATAACAATATTTCAAAGCGCAAGAAGCTTTCCCAACATTAGATAATTAAAAAATATATCTCCCTATTAGGCATGACAACATCAAAGACATTTTCTGTTCTTAAAATTTACAAAGGGAAAAAAGGCTCTGCAATACATCTAAACTTCAATTTTTACACATGCCACCTTTGCTATGTATGAAAATTTGTATTTTACTTTTAAAAAGTTGTTAGTATTTTTTATTTGATATGAAAATTTTGTTTGGCATAGATGTAATAAGTTTAAGTAGTGGATATGTAAATACATGAGAATTGGGTGGTATGTATTAAAATTGAGTGTATAAGGATACAACTTTAGCATTGCCAAGATCAGTTAAAAAAATTGCACAAAAGAAAAATGCACTCTAACAGGCTCCGCAAAATTAATCAAATGTAAAATAAGCTATAATGAAACTTTTCTCATTGATATCAGCAACCCAACAAACATATAATAACAAACAACAGCAATTGAACCAACAAATACCAACCATACAACTACTTGAGTTTATATTGGCTCATGCAAGGAAAATACAACTAGTTTGCAAAATGTTTTAAATATGCCAGCAACATAAGGGTACAAGCTTTCATATTGTCAGTTTTAAGAGAAGCACGATATAAATGGTAATATGCATATGTGAATCGAGTTGCTCGACAGTGACTTAAGCGACACTTGTGTGGATTCATGATATCAAATAGAAAAAAATGATTGAATTAAGAGTTCACATTTATTTGGATAAATTTTGATTCATTGTCAACACAAATCCTCTTATTACTAACATACGTTATTCCCCATTCATCATGAGCTAACTGATAAAATATGAGTTAAATTTTGTGAGAAGTAAGTTGATGAGGGCAAAACATTTTGTGGTCCTTCAATTCCAATTCTTGCCAAAACAAGCTTTGGTATTCAATGTACTCATACCACAATCAATATTTCTTCAAAGGAAGAGCCACTCGTTATACAAAAATTCTCGCAAAATGAGGGTGAAATCTCTGGGTAGTGTCTTATCTACTATTCCATCAAATTTGACCCTTAAAACCCTTCAACAGTCAAACATAAACAAACAAAAAACAGAAAGTCCGGGATGTTCAGAATTTTTGGAGCCTGCAAAGGGATCATCCAATAGGTAGATACATGAAATTCATAAAAACCAGAAACACCAACACCACCGGCACCATCACCACCATCCCCAAACCTTCCGGCCACATCGGCATTGCCATCCCCACCGATGACTTTTTTAGCGAAAGAGTGAAAGAGAGAGAGAGCGAGGTCATGTAATATCATGAAAATTTCCTGAAAATATAATAACTCATCACATTCCATAGGACCCACTGATGGCTTCTTTAGCGAGCTCCCTACCGTGATTTCTTCACACACTGATCCATTGATGTCTTCTTTCATTAGTTCTCGCAGGAATTCCCACTTCTTTCACACAGATTCTGGGTTTGTTGATGCCCTTATATTTGCGCGCTCTTGCATGTCTTTCTCTCTTTTCAGGTTTGTTGATGCCCATTTTTGCATTCATATTTTTTCCTCAAACAAGACATGCTCAGTATGAGATGCAGAGGGGTGAGATGTTGGATCAGTGTGGGCACATGTACGTGTAAGCATTTTTTTTATAATTATACGTCGACCCTAATAATAACTTATTTGTTAGTTGGAGGAGTTTCACAATATAATTGGATATTTTTATCTTTCTACATCCCGCCAAAATAAACTTTACATTTCCTCTAACATTATGAATAACATGACTTATCAAAGAGTGCCCTTGCACAATATTTAAAAACCATCTCAGTGAAATAGATTTACACTCAAAAGAGGCTTCTTTGGAAAGTCATTTCTATATTGTAGAAATTTCATTACTTTATTATAGGAAGCATCATTCACAGTGACACTAGAAGCTCTTCTTTTTTATTTTCCATTTTTTAACCATTTATATCATGCATCATGAATTTCATGAAGTCTATGAGGAGGATTAATGTAAAAGTTTTGGTCCCTCTTCCGTAACATCTATTTTCTATCCACAAAATGTGATTTGACAATCTTTTGCAAGTATGTTGCTATGCTAATCCTTTCAATTGCATTCTAAAAGAGCTCACAACTACTCTCAACTTCATAGGGTGGGCTACCTATCATTATCAATACTTTTAAATGCTTCGTACTGTGAAAATAAATGTCAATTAATGAAACATGATCATATGGGGCGCAATCTCTCTGACTTTATGATGTTAATATTTCCTAATTTGTATCCCCATTTCAACTATCAGATCAAGTTGTTGGAGGTCCCATGTATTGTGAACTTTTTTTTTTTCTCATCATTCCTGGAGTAGTTTTTCAAACATTGTTTTCTTATCTCATTTAACTTTCAGTTGTTTGTTATACCTTAGCAGCTCTAGTTTTTAATTTAACCATGTAAAAGTTTTTTCAAACTGCTAAAGTTCTCATGTAGAGGAAGAAAACTGAACTCTTGAAATAGGATCTTAATAGAGCATACAAATGCCCAAAATTTTCTTATTAAATCCAAAAAACCTCATGTATGATATCAAATGAGTAGCTGAATAAATTATATTTGAGCTGGACCTATGTTCAAGTTTAGTTCATTAAGCTTTAAGCTTTTTAAAAAGCATTCAAATTTGTCTAGTTTTGTTGAATGAATTTGAAGGACTATTTATGAAGCTGAGTTTCAGGTTGTTCACCAAGTGCATTAGCTTGATTAGAATCATGCAATTAATTCGTTTTCATATTATGATTAAATGATTTAATGTCCTCATACTTTGATATGTTTATAGGCGCCAGACTAATTTGACACTTTTATAGACGCCAGACTAATACGATCCCATATAAATAGCCAAGGGACTATTTCAACACTTTACTCTTGAGAATTTTCATCACTCTGGAAGTCTCACTTTGCCAATTTCATTCTGTGCAGGATTCAATCTGTTGTGGAATTCCAGCAGACAATACTCAAGCATGAGGCCCCCTATGAATTGAATGTTTCTCATTCCTTCTCTATATTCTGGATGTTTGAGGTGTAGTTTTCCTTCTTATTTTACTTTTGGAAGATTACATATATACCCACTCAATTCCTATGTATTTACATATGTAACACCTAAACTTCATTTTTCACATATATGCCGCCTTAACCATGCATGAAAAGGTGTATTGCACTTTTTTAAAAAATTAAAATATGCTTTTTTTGATGTCATATGAAAGATTTAGGTTTTAGATATGTAAATACATAGGAATTGAGTGG